AATGCTCGCGGGCACCGCCGCAATTGTGGCCGGGAATCGGCAATGGGCTGACCTAAGAGAGCGCCGACATACCGATCAGGAAGAGCCTCGTGAGAGGAAATAAATTAACCAGACGAGCCACAAGTCTCCACCGATGGCTCAAGTCGCGGAAGAACAGGACGAAGGAGTAAAGACACTCGCCGACGAAGCCGACCGACGATGGTTTTAGAGAGAGAGATCCAAGCCCAAGGAAGGTCTACCTGTTGCGGATTGGCTAATAGCCCAAATAACATCACGCAGAAAATAGTACAGATAGATTGATGTGCCAATGTAGAACCCATTCTTAGAATGAAGCGACGGGCACAGTGATCGATCGGTCTCGCTACAATGCCAGCAAATCGATGAACGAAGAGCCGTTGATGCACCGGCCCAAAAGAAGAAGCGCTCTTCATCTAGGCTATGCAGCTCCTTTTCTCTGGTCATCCACAGAAAGGAGCCTAGTGAAACAGTCAGACCGTCTCCCTTAAAACACCCCAAAATGGGTCTACTGTCGGGCTGCAGGAACCCGATCCGTAGCAGCATGAGTTACCCTCCCATAGAAGACATGGCAGATATCAGACACGTAACTTCATTGCCGTCCTCCTTAAAAAGGATGATAGCCCAAGAGTATAAATCTGACGTCATTAAGCTTCTCATGCGTCAAACCCAAAGAACGTCGAAAAGTTTGGATAATTAGATCACGGAAGACTGTTCAAGGATAAAACCTAGACGAACTCCACAAAATGGATGACGTGAATACTACGACGCTGGGGACCATTGTCCAAGACCATTTTTCCATGAAATGAAGAGCTTGGTAGCAACCCAAAGAATGGGCAAACTCTCAGAAGCTATTAGCGCGTGAAATAATTCCTCAATGAAGAGAGACATGCAACTGAGCTCATGGTAATCTATGAGAACGATGATCCACTGTTTCCCAGCTGGTCATCTAAGGTGCCGGCTCCTTCGCCTTCATCGGCTTTAGGCCTCATGTTGACAAGAACCTGCGACAATGAGCAAGATCGCAGCCAGCCTGTCAGAATCTGGAAATAAGTGAGAACTAATTTATGCGATAAACTCAAGCAGTGGACCTTCCGGAGCATGCTGTTCTCGTTGACCAATGTGGAGATCTTCTCCGCCAGTTTTGCATTCTTATCACGAATCACTTTGGCCATTGATTCGAGATCACTCACATAGACCTTCTTTCTCTCTCTGGCCTGCTGAGCAGAAACCCTATTCCTGAGCAACCTGTTTTGAGAACTCGCATGTGAGGTGCATGAACGCTATAGACCACCAAAGAAGCGATAAGCGTTACTGTCTCGCATACATCTTCCAGTTTAACAGAAACTTGGACATCCGACAGTTAGAGCCAGTTTATTTCGAAGACTCACAGACCAAAATGTGTATATAGACATAAACGATGAACATAGTCAACATTCCCCCAGAAAAACATTCAAGCTGATGAGAATGCGACCATCCCAGAGTAAACGATACCCTTCCCAGCTTGAAGCGTCAGTAATTAGTCAATAATATGATTTTATAACCCATGGTCAATGACACAATCAGGATTCGGTTGACTGGCACATGTCAGATAAATTTCCAAATCTTTCGAGCCTGAATACGAGTTCAAACGTTTAAGCCAACAAATTTAGCCTCAACACACTCAATGGAACCAAGTCAAACCCACTGCTGTCCACACGATCTGTCTGGATCTGACTGGCACATTTTAAGTCAGTTTTTATTATGTTTCCGAGTCCTAACACTCATGGTCATTAGTGGAGCCAGCCATCCCATAATTAGATCAGTGAGCTTGGGTCAACAGCTAACAATCACAAATTGCTTACAACTCGGCCCCCATCACATCAGTTGCTGTTGTTCGTCCAGTGGGAGTAGACCCGTAGTAAACTCCGACTACTACTGTCAATCATGGTTTCAATGAGGGGGGCATCTGACTGAAGTGGTGATTATAGGCTTCCTCACGCCGAGGAAATCGATTAATATTTTCTCGTTCGTCCGATGTGTGAATATTTTCTAATCGACGAGACAATTGCATCGGAAGTCCTGCAGCAGAACTTCGAAGGAGTTCGATGATGGCGAATGGACGAATGAAGAAGAGCTCAAAAGAGTTGCCAGTGAGATTATAAGAATGCATGCTAGCGATTGAAATCGCTGGAATACAGGAGATGGCGCGGGAATATTTTGATGCCAAAGGGAAGGCAATCGGCCAGGAAACTCTCACTATGATGTGTTTTAAAGCAAGAACTCAATATTCCCATTATTGGAGGAGAATTGGAAGGCAGTTGAAGTCTGCCCACTGTCTTGGTTTCTAAGAGGATGTGGAATGATGTATTTGAGCAGTATGCGAGTCAGAGTTGAGAAATAGCTTCCAGGGGTTGGAAATCGCCCGATCGGCCGCATCACGGCAGCTCACAACGCCATGTTCAGTGGTAAGATTCTAAGACTTACCCAGGTCTCTAGGGACGGAAGGAGAGAAGGGAAGACGACAGAGGGCAAAGGATGAGAGAGAGGGAGAATCACCTCTTGAGTCTCCGGTGCTCCCTGTCTTGAGGATTCCGCCCCCTGCGAACCTTTGCCCGCCGTCCTTCTCCATCGCCGCCTCCGCTGCCGCCACTTCCACTAGGATTGACCGGCGTGCTCGGAGAGGCCTTCGAGCTGCTGGGCTCCGCCCCCAGGTCAGGAACCGTGAACAACTCCTCATCACTCTCATCTACAGACCCACCAATGGCAATTAAGGGCGTCCGAGCAGGCATCGGAGACCAAACTATACACGGAACCCAGAGAGAAAGAGACAGGCGACCTTCTTGCGTTTTCTTGACGTGGGGAAAACACACGGCGGCCCGCGAGTGCTTGGTCGCGGAGGAGGCAGAGGCAGAAGCAGAGGCGGAGGCGTCTCTGAGGTCTGGAATCGACATAGGTCCCCCACGCCGTCGCCGGACCACGCGCCGCCAGTTGCAGGGAAAGGGGAGGGGGGCGGTTACTGTTCCTGGTGAAGAGAGTGGCGCCTGCGGGGTGGAGGCCCGCAACGGGGGAAGAGGAGTGGTGGAGGGGAAGAGGGAAACGTGGCCACCCATCCGTCCTAGCGTCTCCTCCCCGACCCCACCGCCGCCGGCGAAATCGCCGGCCGGGAAGGGGACCAGCAGAGGGAGTGAGTCTGACCGGCGACAAATCTCTGATCGCCAGGGCTGTGGAGGCCGTGCCCTTTGACCCATGTATTTCTTAAAGGGCTTGTTCTAATGGGCCTCTCTCCAGCCCCGTATCTAGTGTTTAACACTAGGAATCCCCGCGAACAAGTTGCACAGCTACCACATCTGGGATGAGATTATAGGATGAGTCCCAGTCCAGTCGGAAGTGTTTCAAGTGCCCGAGTTTCAGAGGAGTTGATTTCAGATAGAAGTTTTATACTTGTAGAAAATCTCATGCTCTTTACTATCTTCATACCACATTGTATGCTTCATGGAGTATCTTATATGGGCATGGGATACACGCTTAACATCTCATAACGTGTGAGATGAATTGTGGTGAGGCATCATAGATAGACGATATTGGTCTCTTAGTGGTCACATGATCACACAAGAAATCTGGAAACTCTATTTTATTTTCCTTAATGTGATCCTATTTTATTTATATCTTGAAACTTTATACAAATCTATTCGACGTAGCAATCATCAATAAGATCACACAACAAATTTACAGTGATTCAGTCCTCTTTACCTACGTCAATCCACTCTTTAGGGAATTCGTCCTTCCATTCTACTATTTATTTAGTATTTTACAAGCTGAATGTTTGGCTGAGCAACTAATGCAGTATGAGACCTAGTAGGTGAACCGAGCTCAGCTTAGTCTGATGTGGGCCCCAAAGCCTACTACAAATCTAGGTGCTGGAGGGCCCATCCTAACTCAGGTGAGTTCATTTATTATTAGTGGGCTCATTTTTACTTGTGGGCCCATGGAGCTCATTATCTTTTTTTTTCCCCTTCAGGCATTTATAAGGCTTGGTCGCATCACCCCAATAGGGTTGGTCGAGAGGATCTTGTCACCCTAGTAGGGTTGGTCGAGAAAAATCTGTCACCTTGGTAGGGTTGGTCAAGAGAACCTCGTCACCTTGGTAGGGTTAGTTGAGAGTATCTTACTACTCTCGATTGGAGCTTCCTTTGAGTTATGAATTAACTCTAGAAGAGAAAATATAATTTTGATGAATTTTAGACATTAACTTGATTATTTTGAAATTGATGATATTTGATGTGACTTAAATATATCATTTATGTGGTAAATGTATTTATGTTTAAATTGCTTGAATAATGATCTGAGGTTTGAATTACATGAACAAAATTATGTCATATATATCTCTTAAACGAATTGGATATAAAGACAATACAAAGTCTATATGAGCTAAAGATGCAATCATCTCACATGTAGGTATTAATGCTTAAATCTTTTGTTTCAAATGACTTCAACAATAGAGGGATGTGAGTAATCAATAAAAAATTATTTTAACAAGGAGTTATGAGAAACAAATTTTAGAGAGAATTATTAAAGTGTTGATTTGATATTGATTTTATAAGATTACTAACTTCATATATTCATGTAGGGGCAAAATAGTCTGGCAACATGACCTTTTGTATTAAATTAATTTTTATTTCAGAAAATGAGCGACAGATACAATTGTTGGACACTAAATGGAAAGCTAATTCAAAGAGGAATTCAGGGCTGAAAATATTTTCAAAATATTCTAAGTATCAAGAGAGTTATGAATTTTTTACCCTTTCTAATTACTTTTTTCTATACCTTTCAGGATCCACGTTTGGCCTCTTAAGGCTAGTTTTAGCTCAACCATTTGACCTGATAAGGGCCAAAAGGGAGCGGTCCAGCCTACTTATAAAGAAGGTAGTTCACCCAAAATTAGGGCAAGAGAGAAGAGCATAATTTAGGTGACGGCTGCTGCTTCAATGACAATTTTTTCCTCTTTGTCGACTCATTTCAAGTCTCCAAGAATCAAGGGTGAGATTGATTACTTCAAGGGAGCTATGGACATATCTTCAACTCTCAAGAGGTTCTTCTTTTAACCTAGCATTCACAAAAACCTTCAACAATTCTTGGTGAACAGAAAATAAGATTTGAAGGCTGTGGAAAAATTATTTTATATTATTTATTATTTATACCTTAGTTTGTGGTGTGTGGATTGGTTGAGACACTTGGTGTGCCATCAATGCAGTCATATTGGCTATTGTATGTGGATTAGTTGAGACACTTGTGGTTTGCTTGCAACAAGGATATCTAAGGACCTAAGAACTCTAGGGTTAGAGATCTAGGTTGATTGGTCACAAGCTTGCAGAGCCCATGAATGTAAAGGCTTCTTGATTCCCTTAAAATCAAGGGTGTATTCTAAGGATGAAATAGTGGAATCGAGGTGAAGTCTTTGAAAGTGGATGTAGGTCAAAGTGTGAAGAATTCAAGAAGAGGAGATAGAGAGAGAGAGAAAAATCATAAAAGAGAGGAATAAAAAAAAAATGTATTAAACTATTTAGCATTTATAGTGTTCTATTTATAAGGTTTTCTATTTTAAGGGACTTGATGAGCTGTCACTATCTCTTCTAATCAGTTGAACAATCAGTTAGTAGTTATTCTATTTCACAGTCATACCATCATCTTGAATTTCCTTAACATTTCCCCGCAAGCTAAGCATCGAAACAATGCAAAGCTTATCTCTGATATAGAGAAAGTGTTTCTTTGTCAAGAGTTTTGTCAAAGCATCTGCTAACTAATGAGTTCTTGGAACAAAATAGATTTGCAATTGCTTAGATGTTACTTTTTCATGTACAAAGTGAAAATCTATTTCCACATGCTCCATATGTACATGAATTATCAGATTTGGTGCTAGATAGCTCACTTCAATGTTGTCACAATAAATTGTTGCTGGAGATGAAAGTTGAATATTGATTTCAGTGAGAAGTGATTGAATTCAAGTTATTTCTATTGTAGTATTTGCTGAAGCTTTGTATTCAGCCTATGTACTTGATCAAACAATTGTTGGTTATTTCTTAGATGATCAGGAGACCAGATTATTTCTTAGGAAGATAAGATATCCTCATGTTGATCTCCGATTGTCTCTTGAGCCAGCCTAGTCAGCATCACTATAAGTCGAAATTGATTTTTCAGAATTTTTATAAAATTGTAGTTCATACATAATGCTTCCTTTTAGATATCTAAGGAGATGCTTGAGGTTAATCCAATTAGTAAATGTTGGTGCATGCATCTTTTGATAGGCTTTATTAACAGCAAAGGAAACATTAGGTCATGTGATGGTTATGTATTGTAATACTCCTACTATGCTTCTATATAATGTAAAATCAACTGAAGAAGAATAATTTGTTATAAGAGAGGAGGAAGTATAGCATGGCATTGAAAGTTGTTTAGATTGGTCCATCTTTCCATGATGTAATAATGATGTGTTGTATTTTGATTGAGATAAAAGATAACCATAATTATTTTTAATAAATTTGATAATAAGAAAATAATGGGTTGGACCTAAGTCATGAAGAGCAAAATTCACATGTAAAGAATTAATCATATTGTCGATGTAATTTTGTTTAAGACTAAGAATGAGTATGCCATCTACGTAAATTAGTAAAAATACTGGATTAGAAAAATAATTGTAATATAAATATGTATCAATTTTAGAACTAGTGAAACCAAGTGTTTGAAGATAATATGTTAGTTTGTGAAACTATGCACAAGGGGTTTGCTTAATGTCATAAATTAATTTTTCTAATTACATACATGACTAGGAAAATATGGATGATTAAAATTAGGTGATTGTTCATAAGTCTTCATTATCATGAGTTAATAATTAGTAAATAATATAGTTTTAGCCTTAACTCATGATAAATAGACTTATATTTGTGTTAAAGTGTGAAAAGTGGTTTTCAGTTGATTAATGTGAAAATTTGGCTAATTATGTGATTTTCTACGAATTTATATGATTTTTATAGTCTTATTTTTGAGATAAATAAAGAAAAAATTAAAAATATAACAAAATAAGGGGGACCAGCTAGCCAACTGAGCCCACAAATAAGTCAGAAGGATAGTTGGAGGGAGTCGTGAGTAGGGGCTCGAGTAGCTAAGACTAATGGGGGCACGTGTACACCACTCCCTTTCCACGTCATCGGTGGCTAGACAACTATGAGGTAAAAAGTGGTTGTACACATCGGAGAAAGGGACTCATTACTTCAAAATGTGATATTATTATATATTCATCTAAAACTTTGACGCACAAGTAATATAAGACTAAACCCACATCACATCTTCCTTTGAAAGACTTCGAAGATTTAAATACCTAAACTACCCATTCATTATAATACAGATATACTATGATGATGTCACTTGATAAGAGCATTAGAGTACTTATTTCAATCTCTCTCATGTAGGTGAGCAATCGGCGCAGGTTCAAATTTTTTCAAAGTCAAAACTCGTATTTTTATCTATTTATTGCAAATTTCTTATAAATCGTTAGTGAATGATTAAGCCACCAAAATTACTAGATCATCAATGAAAATCTCATCAATCTAATTCACAGAGTATTGTTATTAAAATTATTAAAAAAATTGTAATAAAAGGACTGTAAATTCATCAAGTAAATCATCTCCAATTGATCGACGAACAAATTGTCATCAAGAAGAGGACAATCTATTAGGAGATGAGTCGCCACCTCTTGAGAACATACTGGATGTAATGAAGAGTCTTTTTTTGCCATGCGGACTTGAAGATGAAGCTCCTTAACATGCCCCCTACCTCCATCTAGTTCCTCTCCGTCAAGTGACAGCCACTAGAGAGTTGCAAGGTCGCCATTTTTCTATTCTGTTGGGTGACAGTCACCGGAGATGATTCGACGACCCATTTTATTAATCTCTAGACTTTGTAAAGAAATCTAAAGATTACTCACATTGTCCTTATATAAGGAGAGCCTTCAAGGCCATGAACACTACATGACGATCCTCCTAAATGCTCAGGATTCTAGTGCATCACCAACATATCCCCTTTGTGATGTTAAAACTCTGTTATCTTATTTTTAACTTAATTTTCACTTCATTTAGTGATAATTTATATGATATAAATTTACCAAACTATATTTTATTCAATTATGATTCTTCTAACTTTTATAAATCTTAATTTGATCAATTAAATTATTTGTAATTACTTACATAGGAATCACTAAGTGAAACTTTATTTCCATCTGATTTGCATTTGTCAGGTGTTGACATCATCATGACGTCCACACCCTTATATTTTATATATATTGTATTTTCATTTTTCAGTATAAAATTCATAAAAAATTATGTTCTTTGAGTAAAATTCTAAAACATTACCCGATATTATATTACATCCTTGTCATCGACTTAGAAAATTACCAATATTTTTAGAAGTTTTATTGAATTATAATTGATACATTTTTTCAAAAATACTTCTAAATATCTAAAAATTAATATTTTTTAGTTTTATAAATTTTAAATTTACGTGATTTACTATACAACAACTAAGTCACGTCAGTTGTTCTATGTAAATATATTCTGAAATATCTCCATATAAAAATACATTCAAAACATCAAGTTAATGAATACATGAATTAAGATTGATAGCAAGAGATAATAAAATATAAATTAATATAATTTTTACAATTAGACTAAAAGTTTTAGAAAAATCAAAACCTTCTCTTTAGTTAAACCCCTTTGCTACTAGCCTAGCTTTATATCTATCAATAGTTCCATCCAACTTATATTTTAGTTTAAATACCCATTTAAAGCCTATGACATGAAAGTTGAGAGATCTAGGTACTAGAGTCCATGTATTATTTTTAATAAGTGTGTTAAATTCAGTAGTCATAACTTGCATCCATTGAGGGTTTTTAGAGGCTGAGTTAACATCAGTTGGTTCTATGACATGAGATAATGTAATATTAAAACATAATGGTAGTGGATATTTTGTACTAAGAGTGGTGAGATTAACATGAGGGTTTTTTTTATATTTTTTATTGTATAACTATCTTGGGCCGAACTTCTCAGGAGGTCACCCATCTTGGTACTTCACACGCCCAAGCACTTTTGGTGCCTCTCAGGCACATTCTTCAGAGATAGATGCCAATTGCACCTCTCGACATCATGGCAAGGGTGCCTCTCGGCACGTTCTTTGGAGCTGGGGGCATCTTGGCATGGTGAGATGGATGCCACATATACCTCTCGGCATGGTGGCAAGGGTGCCTCTTAGCATGTTCTTCGATGCTCAAGGCATCTTGGCATGGTGACTTCCTGAGTTCTTATGGGATCTGGTGGCAACTCTCCCACTAAGGGGGGTTGAGATTAACATGAAGGTTGTGTTGTTTTTGAAGGAAAATTAGGTTAACACCGTAGTCTGTGTATATGTCTTTAAGAGACCTATGTTTGGTTGGAGGAGTGGATTGTGAACTTTGAGTGAGTGTATGAGAATGATATGAAGATGAATTTGGTATTTCAACTATTTGATGATTGGTAATTGGGGAAGAAATATTTAACTCAAAGGATGGATAACTGTAAGTGAGAGAATCAGATTTTGTGAAACTCGTCAATTGACTTGTGGAGATTGTAGGAAAGAATAAGAGTCTAGACAACTTCCTAAAATACTTTTATCAACAAATATATTATAATTTTTAGGAATTTTATTTCAAAAATATAAAAAAAAATATGTTCATAAAAAATAACATGCCTTGAAATAAACAACTTACTTGAACTTATGATTAAACATCGGTAGCTAATAAGTCTTCATTATCATGAGTTAATAGTTAGTAAATAATATAATTTTAGCCTTAACTCATGATAATAGACTTATATTTGTGTTAAAGTGTGAAAAGTGGTTTTCAGTTGATTAACGTGAATTTTTGGATAATTATGTGATTTTATATGATTTTTACAGTCTTACTTTTGAGATAAATGAAGAACAAGAAATAAAAATATTGCAAAATGGGGGGACCTGCCGACTAGTCAAACCCACAAGCGGGTCAAAAGTGTAGTTGGGGAGTAGCCACGAGTAAGGGCTCGAGTGGCTTGGCTTGAACTAATAGGGGCACGTGTGCACCACTCTCCTTCCACGTCACCACTGGCCAACTAGCTATGGGGCAAGGAGTGGTTGTACACACGAGAGAAGTGACTTTGCTTATAAAGCTAACATTACTATATATTCGCCCAAAAAATCGACGCACAATTGATGTGGGATTAAACCTGCATCACACCTTCCTCAGAAGAGGCAGGCGACCGACGTGGGTTCGAATCCTCCTAGAGTCAAAATTCATATATTTTTATCTGATTATTGCGACTTTCTTACAGATCGTCAGTGAAGGATTAAGCAACGAGAATCGTTGGATCATCGGCAAAAGTCTCATCAATGCGATTCGCGGAGCATTACTACTAAAATTGTTGAACAATTTGCGATAAAAGGATCGTGAATCCATCCAGTAAATCATTTCCGATTGATCGACGAACAAGCCGTTGTCAGGAAGAGGATGATCTGCCGGGAGATGAGTCACCATCTCTTGAGAGCATACCAGATGCGAGGAAGAGCCTCCTCTTGCTGTGCGGACTTGAGGATGAAGCTCCTTGACACGCACCCCACCTCCATCCAGTTCCTCTCCATTAGGTGACAGTCGACGGAGAGTCGCAAAGTCACTATTTTTCTGCTCCACTGAGTGACAGCCGCTGGAGACGACTCAACCACCCATTTCAGTGATCTCTAGACTTCGTGAGAAGATCTAGAGATTGCCCACGTCTTCTTTGTGTAAGGAGAGCCTTCAAGGCTGTGGACATTACACAACGATCCTCCCGAATGCTCAAGATTCCGGTGCATCGTCAACGCATCGCCGTCGCGATGTCGGAACTCTATTTTCTTACTTTCAACTTATTTTATGCTTCATTTAGTGATAATTTTTGTATTTTTAATTTACCAAAATATATTTTGTTCAATTACGATTCTTCTAGCTTTTACAGATCTTAATTTGATAAATTAAATCATTTGTAATTGCTTACGTAAGAATCACCGAGCGGAACTATGTTTCCGCCTGATTCGCATTCGCCAGGTGCTGACATCATCTTGACATTTTTTCTTTTTTTATGAATTTTAAATATATTTCCTTTTCAATTCTTAGTATAAAATTCATAGAAAATCGTATTCATCGAGAAAAATTCTGAATAATTACTAGATATTATATTATATTTCTATGATCGACTTGAAAAATTACCACTATTTTTGGAAGTTTTATTAAATTATAATTAATACATTTATTTAGAAATACTTCTAAATATCTGAAAAATTATATTTTCTAGTTTTATAAATTTTATATTTGCGTGATTTAACATACAACAACTGAGTCACGTCAGTAACCATTATGTAATGGACTGTAACCAAACAGAACACATTGATCCGATTATGATGTCAATTTATGTTGAGTGTAGGGTTGTAGGTATGGATAATATAAACAACCAAAAGTTTTTAAAACATTATAATCGAGAAAAAATTTAAATAGAACCTCGTATGGAGATTTATTTCTCAATATTGGTGTTGACATTCAATTAATTAAATAAGTGACTGTGCATACAGCTTCATCTCAACATTTATTTGGCATTGAAGCTTGACGAAGAAGTGATAAACATGTTTATTTGAGGTGCTTATGTTTCCTTTCAACTATGCCAATTTGTTGAGAAGTATGAGGGCACGAAACTCTATGTATTATGCCTTGATTTTTAAGATGACAATGCAAGGCCTGAAATTTACCTACCCAATTAAACTGAAAGAAAATAAATTTTGTAGAAATTTGTCTTTCTACTCTATTTTAAAATTCTAAAAAAAATATTAAAAATATCATTCTTAAGTTTTAGAGGATATAGCCAAGTATATTTATTGAAATCATCTATAAAAATAATGTAGTAAGAAAAATTAAAATGAGATAGAACTAATGAGGGTCCCCATAAATCTAAGTGAATTAGTTCTAAAGATTTTGTTGAGATTTTATTTGAACTAGAAAATAAAAGTTTGTGAGATTCTGAAACATAACAAGCATCACACCAATATTATTTCTTGAAGAATTATAAACTAAGGATGTTCAAGTCTATTGTGCCACATGTGAAAATTAGTTCTTTGAGGAAGCCCATCTTTAGTTGTTCCCTCGAGGAAGATGTTGTGTGGTTTCTTGTCCATCACAAGACAATAATCAATATGAAATTCAACAAAAATGTTGATATCAGTCATTAGCTTGTTCACTGATAATAAATTTCTAGTGATCTCTAGTACATATAAAATATCTTTTAATTTTGGTGAAAATGAGAAAGATTTTAAGGAAGTATCACCAAGAGATTGAATTTTGAAACCTAAGCCATTACCTATTTTGAGATGATCCATTCCTTGATAGTTTGTTGGCATATTTATCACATGTTGATTAGGAGTAATATAGTGTGTTGCACCACTGTTTGAAAACCAAGCAATTGCAGTAGAGGGTTCAGAAATATTTCTAATGCTCATCATATATGCTTGTGGTACAGCTTGAGGAAATTGAGTCACTAAGTTGTCTTGATTCTATTCAGGTGCAAGATTGCTTTTACTCAATGCATAAAAATTATCAGAATATTTTTCTTTGTACTCCTTACCTCGGTGTCTAAATTGTGAGCATATTTGGCACTGAGGTTGTCAATTCCTATTTCTTCTGATCCTTACTTCCTCTATTTTGCCATTGCCAATTTCCTTTATTTTGAATTTGAGATGAATAAAGTTGAACACTGTTGCCTGCAGGAGCTAGACTATTGGTATTTTGAATCTGATGAAATACATAAATTACGTCATGAGCCTTTAATTCGGCTATTATCTCTTCAAATGTGAAATGATATAGATTTGCATTGATACGTACGGTGAATGAAATGTAAGAGGTACTGAGTCTTCTAAGAAATGCAAAAATCATTAATGCATCATCAACCAAATGTCCTGTATATGACAATTCCTCTACTATATTTTTAAACATCTTAATGTAATGATCAATAGTCATGTCTCCCTTATTAGCATTGTGGAATCTTTTTTAAAGGTTCATAATTCTTGATTTTCCTTTTGACAAATATGTTGTTTCTATTACATCCCACATTTCTTTTGTAGTATTCTTCTGTCCAATATTTGAGAGTACATATTCAAAAAGAGAGGAAAGAATAAAACCCAATACATGCTAATCATGGTGCCACCAAATTTTACATGGTGATCATGGCACAAGATTAATCTAATGGGAACAGCCAATTGAAGCTTAGACCATAGAAGCTATCATTGCTTGAGATATAGAGTTGAGTGATCTCATCAATGTAGTCATTTGATCCTCTATTGCTCTAATACCATGTGAAGAATTCAAGAAGAGGAGAGAGAGAGAAAGAAATTATGGAAGAGATGAATAGAAAAAGGAATTACATCAAATTGCTTTCTATTTACAATATTCTATTTATAAGGTTTTGATTTAAAACTGTTGGATTAGTGAATGTTGGTACGTCAATCTTTAATAACCGTTGGATTAGTGGTTTCTTATTTTAAGTGATTTGATGAGTTGTCATTCTCTCTTCTAATTGGCTGAATAGTCAATTCATAATTACTTTGTTTCACTATTATCAAGTCATCTTAAATTTTCTTAACACAAAGTCAACTAAACCACTCTAAAATCTAGAGTGAAGTATATTTTGTTATTTTATTTTTTATTTATATATTAATATAGAGATATAAATGAGATATTAATAGATAAAATAAAATAAAATAAAAATAATTATACTTAAGAAGAAGAAAAATTGAAAAGTCAATTCAACCCCCCCCCCCTCTTGAATTATTTAGTCATCTAGGGACCAACAACTTCATTATTACACTATTGTCGCCATCATTGTTGCCATCATCTTTTATGCTGCCGCCTCCACTTTCTTCATCACTATCACCAACACATTCATTTGTCATCGCCACTACCTCATTCACTCCCACCACCACCGTCAACACTATTGCCATTTTCTCCTCCTTTACTTCCTCCCCACCATTGGCTGTCTTCTTTGCCTCCACCCCACCACCAACAATCTTCCTTATCTTCCACTGGCCACCTTCTCTACTTTTGCCTTACCACCAACCACCTTCTCCAGCTCTGCCCTGTCACTGGCCACCTTGCCCTTCAATTGTTGTCATCTTGCAAATTCAAGTCATTCATACATCATCATCTAGACTGTATCATGATGCAATGCCATTGCCTTCATCTTACTTGCTAGAGGCTGTTCATGACCAGAATGATATCCACCAACCTCAAACAACCTCTCTTTAGCCATTTCCCCTCTCTCATTACAACTCCTGATCAATGCATCACTAGGCAACGTTCCTCCCTAATTGTTAATCCCTCAATATTCTTGTGACTATCATCTAGTTCTTCTTGTGATTATTGCATAGCATTTGTAGGATAACTACTTTTTTAATATTGGATGATCAAAACCCATGATAACTTGAATTTACTTTATCACATTTTTTAGCACCCTACACCTTGTGATTTGCCTAAAATGCCTATTCCTAACTTGCTCCTGCTCATTAGATGTCTGACCTTGTATTTGAATTTTTAATTCTTCTTTATTAATTTTATTATTTAAATTTTGGTGTCTATTGCATTTTATTTTCCCTCTCACATGTCATTTGTATTATTTGCATCATTTGATCTTAAAGCATTAGGCTGTAGGGCACATACATATGTATTTATTACCTCATACTAACTAGACTTTGCATATCTTACCCCATGTCTCATAGGTCCAGACATGAATATTTAGCATAAGAGGATCGCCCAGATCTTGAGATGAAGGATGGTGCACCTCCATGGGTCAAAAAAATTATTGATATGTTAAATACCATTGATCATAGAATTGGTAGCCAAAAGAGAACAGGACAGCTCTCTTGACTGACACACATCTCCTCCTTTTGAGTTACCTAGAGCCCAAAACCTTCTAGAGACAACTACTATAGGAGTACGTTTTATGATGAACCTTCAGAACCCAAAAATTACTAATAATATGTTTGGGTCAACATTCCACATTTGAGGGCTCTTAAAATCTTAAGATTTATTTTTTGATTGTGAGGCTACCATGGATAATTGCTTGTGGTGGTATGACATGTTAAAGGCTAGAAAGATTAGACTTTTTGACTTGAGGCTAGTAGGACCTCCTAAAACGTATTGACAGAATATAGATCATCTATTAGAATGTAGAGGTCAATAACTTGTAGAAATTTGGGCTAAAATAAAAGTTAACCTCAGAGAGAAATTTACCCATTAATATCACAGATCTTGTTGCTTATCATAGATCACCCAATATACCTAGTGAGCTATGTGAGCTAAATCTTATATTTCCAAGTGACAGCCCACTTAATTGTCCACCATATATTCTTTGAAAGTGACATGAGCAAGTAGAAGATATATTAGCTACGTGATTTTTATTGATGGTAGTGGGCATCACATATTTCTGATTCATTGGAAGGATCATTCGCCAATACATGACTCATAGATCACAGAGTAGGTTCTATGCCAACTTGATCCTTGCAAGTAGGAGCACTACAACAATATGCCACCCCTTCACTCGACAAAGTCGAGTTCTGTAGACAAGGAGAGAGATGATGAAGGACAAGTCCTATAGGCAAACCGAGCTTAACCTAGTATAATGTGGACCCTGAAAGCCCACTGCAAATTCAGATGCCGACAGACCTGTCTCAACTCCAACAAATTCATTTATTATGAGTGGGCTCATTTTCACTTCTGGGCTCGTTGAGCCCATTATCCGTTTTTTTTTTTCATGTAGGCCTTTTTAAGGCCTGATCTATTGCCCTAGAGGTAGAACTTGATTTTTGAAGAGTAAGAGGCCGGCGTTTTGTTTGTCGCTGCGCCCATAGGAGTTGGCTACATGACCCCGTCACCCTAGTAGGGCTGGTCGAGAGGACCCTTGGCCCCAGTAGTGTTAGTTGAGAGGAATCTGCTGCTCCCAGTTGGAGCTCTGCCATTCCACCACTGGTGCCGACGATGCATTCATTTGCCGTCGTCGCCAACTTTCTTCACTGCCGCCGCCACCTTCAACATTACTGCCACCACCAGCTGCCTTCTCTGCCTCCGCCCTGCCACCAGTCACCTTCTTTGCCTTCGTCCTGCCACCGCTCGCCTTCTTTGCCTCCGCCCCACCACTAGCCACCTTCTCTCCCTTAATTACTGCCATCTTGCCGATTCAGGTTGTTCGCATAACATCATCTGGGCTGTACCATCCTGACCCATCACTATTGCCTTCGTTCTGCTTGCTGGAGATCGTCCGCAACCAGCACGACATCTATGGACCCCGGACAGCCTCTCTCCAGCCGCTTCTCCTATTTCTTGCTTCAGTTCATGATCAGTGCATCAGCAGGTGAAGTCTTTCCCTAGTGGGTAATTCCTCGCCCTTCTCGCAGTCTTCATTTGCTTATTTAATATATTCGTCTTGCGACTGCTGCCAAGTGTCCATATGATAGCCCACCTTTCTAATATTGGATGACCAAAACCCATGATAACTCGGATTTATTTTATTATATTTCGAGCACCCTGTGCCTGTAGGTTTGCCCAAATTGTTCGTTCCTACCTTGCTTCCGCTCGTGATCTTCAGCATTTTATTTAATCTCCCACATCTCCTTAGAATCATCCACATCAACAACATATTAAATTTAACGGTTCCGTCTCACGCAGGATTACCTCAAAATTTCTTTCTAGATTACATGGCTGTAGATGACTAGATAGAGAAATGTCCAATTCTCTCTTTTTTAGATTAAAGGTTCTATCGAGGAGTACCCAAATTTCAATAACTTGAACTTAATGAGATGGTGGTGAGAATTGACCCTAGCGGAAGACGATTCTCTTTTTCCGCAGGCTTGGGATGAGGACCATCATTTTTGAATAAGACTATTGGGCTCAACTTCTCTTCACGCATTCCTCTTTGTAGGATCAACTAGAATGCAGTGATTTGATGAATTTTGATAATCTTCTCCCCTTTATTTTTCCCTTTTCTTTTTGAGTGACTCGGGCAGCAACGTCATATCTTGGATTTATATCTTTGTTGGCTTAGTACTGGACGAAGATGTCGATTTCATATCAACTGGATCAAGCACAGAATGGAGGCTTGAATTTCTTCACTGGCGACATGAACACAGAAAGTAGGCATTGTTTTCTTCTAAGATAGCTTCCTCGTTGCAGGTGAATTCAGAGGACGAAGGTAAGAGATATCTTGTTGCAACCGCGTGAAGAAGATGGATACTTGAGATTTCTTCTATGCTGGAAGGATGTGAAGCAGTTTCTTCGTCATTTCTTTGCTTCCACCCAATCCTCGTTTCCCTCTTTTCTGCGATCAGCCATAGCTCAAACCAGATGAAGAGATTAAGAGGGGCCCGACACGATTGAATTTCCCTTCCCTTTATGAATCAAATAGGAAGCAGTGCCATCCGTGATCGTCCGTTGAGCTATTCCCCCTTCTCTTCGCGGTCGACCCCCTTTTTCAAAGAAATTGAAGAGGAATTCAAGAGAGCGATTAGGGTTTTGGCCAGAATTGCCACCATATATATATATATATAAATATTCAAATGGTGATCATTGGGTCGAAATATGCCATATGTAACGCTAATGAGCGTCAGTTAGTTTTGCTCTACATGCAGATGCTTGTGGTAAAACAGATAATCAATTCGTCCACATACCCGACAGTCCGTAGATTTCTGATTCCACGGTGTAACTGATAGATCCAAGTCCCCACCCCCATGCCCGAGACTGCAAGCCTTGGATTCACTCGGCGTAACGGATAGATCCTTTTACCCGATATAAATCTTTTTATCCTGGATCCAAAACCAGATCCAGTACTCAATTTCCAGCCCATAAACATATCTAATAAACTCCTTAAATTGCAGGACAATAACAGGTCTAATATACTGCTTAAATTCCAGCCCAACAAGAATGTGCTTGTTTGTGCCCACTTGGTTTGGACTATGCCTGGTTTGGGAAGTGAGCCCAACTCACTTGCTCCCACTCTCCTCTTTGCTGTTCATTGTGGCCGATTATAGAGCAACACCTTGTTTCTTGGACCCGGCCATGATCTGATGAGCTAGCAGCTGCAAGTGGTCGTGTACACAGGAGATTAAATCCTGTGAATCTTGGACGAAAGAGACTCGCCATGTCGAGCCAGTTACATCCCCACTGATTCTGCGAAATTAAGTCCCTATTTAAGCGTTTGCTTGAAGATACAAAGTCTGAAAATTTTTGTTATTTATTAGTTGAGTAAAATACGGTCTAATTGTTCAACGTGGATGTCTAATAAATGAGAAATAAGGTGCAACAATGATGTTACTGTGAAGGCTTTGGAAGATAGAACGTAGGCAGTAGCGGCCGCCTTGGCGTCGGGGCCATGTGGGAGGTTAACGCACGGTCTCCTGGTTTTCTAGGGCTCGCCGGTTCTGGAGATTCCTAGCTTGACGTGTGACCTTCTTTCTCATCTTCTTCTTCGCTGCCTCCGTAAGCGGCTACAGGAACCGAGTCTTTCTGGCGCTGCTCTTGCTTGTGAATTGGACAACTTAGGGTTAGCCTTTCGGAGGGTGGCTGTCGGCGTTCCCTTTGGCTTCCGAGGGAGAAAACTATTCTCCTTGAGAAGATAACACACGATGGGCACGGACTTGGAGAGGAGAAGAGAGATAGGGAGAGAGAGAGAGAGAGGTGGAGAGGGACTAGTCTAGGTGTAGCTTGCCTTGACTGCATTTTCTTGTCTGTAGAGAGACTGCACGTCTCCCATGGAGAGAGTATCTTCCTTCTCTGAGAGCCTTCCCCCTCCCGCATACCCTACACACCGGATAAACCTACTCCCCATATTATAGAACCCAGATTGGCCATCTTGTCCCCCCACCAATTTCTCGGAGAAACTGCTCTCCATGGGAAAACACGACTTACGCGGACGCAATCTTTTCTGGGGGAGGGAGAGAGGGAGAGCTTTAAATGTTGATTTTGAAACGAAGATCGTCCTATGTAATTTAATGCAGTGGGTTTCGAACGACAAGTCTCGTCCGTGAGAGATCCCAGTGTCTTCTCAATTCACCTCCCTTCCTCTCTCTCTCTCTCTCTCTCTCTCTCATAACAATCCGCCCCGAGCCATTTGGCCGTGCTCTTGGAAGCAAAGAGCACGGCCTTCTATGTTTCCAGATAAAATAGGCGAACAGTGAGCAACAGTGCATAATTCGGTCGCCGTGCTCTTCGAGTAAAGAGTGGACGAACTGTACGAGCGGGTGGGAGGTCGGCCTTTCACGATCAGCGAAAAAGGGTAGGGCTCACAGCGCGGAGGGAGGTTGACTCGCTGCCCGCCGAGGAGGAACCAAAATGAAGACATCCATCCTTGTGTTCGCCCATTTGTCGAACCACAATCTCACTGGACTCAGTCAAGATGGGCAACCCTCTTTTCCATCCCCCTCTCCATGTAACAAATAACAGAAGAAGGGGGAGAACCGAGAGAGGGAGACAGAGACAGAGAGAGTCGACCAGGTGAAGAGAACCTAGACGGAGACATGCATGTGAGGGGAAGGGGTTAATGGCTTCAAATGAATCTGTAATGGCCTTTCTTCTCATGGTGGGGTTCGGTTTGGCCCAGATGGGGAAGGCGGTGGGGGGGGCCTCAGGCTTCACTATCTGCTCACGTTTTCTCCTGCAGTGGGAATCCAGATTTCTCTTGTCGGGCTTTACACCAGCCCTGGTGAAGGCCTTGAATGGGGGCGTCGTTTCTTTTTCCAAGGTGCGCTCTTTGGAGTCAGAAGCGTCGCCCCTCCTAGCCGGGAGAATTATTAATGGTAGAGAAGGAGAAGCGGTTGGGGAGTCGCAGTCAGTCTCGACACCCCTTCCCTTGGAATGTTGCCCCGTTTTTCTCTGGGAGGGATAGATA